CCCTTGGGGGGGGGAAAGGTGCATTTGAAACCCCCCCTGGTTGTTTTTTTTGGGAGATAGGGCCAAATAGGGGGGTGGGGGGGGGAAAGGTTTTTTCGAAAAACCCCCGGTGGTTTTTGGGGGGGGGGGTTTGGAAAAGGCAGTAAAAAAGGCCCCGATCCCCAACCGGTACCGGAATCCCCCCGAAAAAAAAGGGGCCAGGCCCCCCCCCCCCCCCTCTACCTCCCCCAGAGGATGAGGGTACAGTCCAAAGTAAGCACAAGCTCACCTAAGGTTAATGCCTATTGGTACGGCATTAAAAAAAAAATGCCTAAGTCCCCCATTGGGCGTGGAAGGACTTAGCGTTAAGACACCCCAAAACTTTCCGGCGTGAGATCCAACATGGTTCGGACGGTGGAGGGGGGGGGGGGTGTTCGTTGAAGTAGACCAATAAACATAGAGCCATCAAAGCAAAGCTTATTACTCACGTCGAGCAAGCTGAACGACCTGACCAACCACGCAAAAACTGCGGAGCTAGATGTGCGGCACGCACAATGCATTGTTTTCGATCGGAGAGAGGCGAGTACAAAGCAGTAAGGAATTGTTGGCCAAACCTTCGGCAGATGGGTCTACTCGGGAGCGTAAGTGGGGCAGCAACCCATGGTGGAGCGTACATGAGAAGCTGGACGTTGGTGTACGCTCCATCCCGGCGCGTGATAGGATCTTAGGCTATGCAAGTCGTCCCTGGACTTATTGTGGTGAAAATGGCCTCCCAGGAGGAAAGCAGCTTGTACCGCGGGACTTCGGAGATGATAAATTGGGTGGTCGGGGGACGTCTGGGTGTTCACTAAGCAGAACGCCCGGCACAAGACTGGGGTACTTGTGTGCCAGGAGGTGTGAACTTGGATCTTGACTACGAGCCCATGTTGGAGGCGCTATTTAGCGTCGGTGAGCCGGCAAAAGAACTGAAAGGAACCACAACCCCCACCGGACACTCGGATTGGGAAGGCCGAGTATTCCGTATACCTCCCTGAAAAAACACGAAAAACAAGTGGCCACGATCCAGTTGCTGTAGAGATCATGAGGGTGGTGAAGAAGCCGGGAGGACGGAAGCAGAAACTGTGGAAGGGAGACAGATTGGAGCTGCTGCTGTTTGGGATTCCAAGGGACATGACGAGGATAGAGTTCAAGAACTGTTGTGACAGGGAGGGACTGCACTGCCTAGCAAGGGGAGAAGTAGGCAGAGAGCATGAACATTTCCGGGTGAAATTGACCAA